TAAATGTAAAACTCAAAACTATAAAAACCCTGGAAGACAGCCTAGGCAGTACCATTCTGGACACAGGAATTGGCAAAGATTTCAAGACAAAGATGCCAAAAGCAATTGTAACAAAAGCAACGACTGACAAAAGAAATCTAATTAAACTAAAGAGCTTCTGTGCCACAAAAGGAACTATCAACGGAGTAAACGGACAACCTATACAATGGGAGAAAATATTTGCAAACTATGCATCTGGCAAACTTATAGATGCTGAATATTAGCATCTATAAGGAACTTAAATTTACAAGAAAAAACCCCATTAAAAAGTGGGCAAAGGATATGAACACTGTTCAAAAGACATACAGGTGACCCACAAGCATATGAAAAATGGCTCAAAATCACTGATCATTAAAGAAATGCAAATCAAAACCACAATGAGGTACTATCTCACACCAATCAAAATGGCTATTTTTAAAAAGTCAAAAAATAACAGATGCTGGTGAAGCCACAGGAAAAAGGGAAGGCTAATATTCCGCTGGTGGGAATGTATATTAGTTGAACCATTGTGGAAGACAGTGTGGTGATTCTTCAAAGACCTAAAAAACAGAACTACCATTTGACCCAGCAATCCCATTACTAGGTATATACCCAAAAGAATATAAGTCTATCATAAGGACACATGCACGTATATGTTCACTGCAGCACTATTCACAATAGCAAAGACATGGAATCAACCTAAGTGCCCATCAATGGGAGACTGGATTAAAAAGAAAATTGGCATATATATATATACACACACCACAGAATACTAAGCAGCCATAAAAAATAATGAGATTATGTCTTTAGCAGGAACATGGATGGAGCTAGAGGCCATTATCCTTAGCAAAATAATGCAGGAACAAAAAACCAAATACTGCATGTTTTCACTTACAAGTGGGAGCTAAATGATGAGAACACACGGACACAAAGAGAGGAACAATAGCCACTAGGCCTACTTGAGGGTAGAGGGTGGGAGGAGGGAGAGGAACAGAAAAAATAACTATTGGGTACTAGGCTTAGTACCTGGGTGATGAAATAATCTGTGTAACAAACCCCCTTGACATGAGTTTACCTATAACAAACCTGCACATGTACCCCCAACCTAAAAGTTAAAGAAAAAAGTTAGGGCCAGATACGGTGGCTCACGCCTGTGATCCCAGCACTTTGGGAGGCTGAGATGAGCAGATCACTTGAGGTCGGGAGTTCAAGACCACCCTGAACATGGAGAAACCCCATCTCTACTTAAAAAAAACAAACAAAAACAAAAACAAAAACAAAATTAGCTGGGCGTGGTGGCTCACGCCTGTAATCCCAGCTACTTGGGAGGCTGAGGCAGGAGAATCGCTTGAACTCAGGAGGTGGAGGTTGCAGTGAGCTGAGATCACGCCATTGCACTCCAGCCTGGGTAACAAGAGTGAAACTCTGTCTCAAAAAAAAAAAAAAAAAAAAGTTGGGTTTTGCTATAAGCCATTTCCAGAGTGCCATTATAATACTTCAGTGACTCTAATAGTTACCATCTGCCTTATCTGTTTTTCATATTTTTGGAAATACATCATCGTTTTATAAATACGTGCTTCAGTTCACTTGGAGCTTAATAATTAATGGTTCCATAGCGAGGCATCATCTTACAACCACAGAATTTTCCCTAGACCATTAGGCTAGACAATCTCATGATAACACTAATCAAACCTGGAGTAAAGTGGTTAATAAACGATAAAAGGGGTTATCCAATGGTTAATAAATATAATTTGGGTTGGTTTTTTATAGGTTTTTCTTTGAACTATTGAATAAGAAACTACTAATGTAAAATATTAGATTGCATGTTGGAATGTATATAGCTATGTCTTCAAGTTTAATACTCAAAGAATGAAATTCTAGATTGTCTCTATCTGTAAACCTATTTCTTTAGCCAGTTGTTTTGTGTCTATTGCCAAGAAACAGGATTCTCTGCCTTGTGCAAATACTCTTTTATGTTTACTTCTTCTTGATTTTTAAATATGTGATTGTGTCCTAACCTGTCACAAGATGCTGTTGCAGTAATATTGAATGTGTGTGAAAAGGGTATATTTGTAGTTCCAGGTACAGTACCCATATGGCCTTGACTATATTTCAGCTATTTAAAAATTAAGTTGGAGGATTTTGGCAGAAGTAGTTATGTGTGTGATTGCTCCAATAGACTGGTTGGCATGTGATGCTGAGGTCTTGTCCTTTTAGCTGTCCCACAGGATAGATGTAAGCAATGTCACATTCATCATACTACGGGTGAAGGTTCATCACTCCAATGTGATGGTGGCAAATTTCAACAAGATAGCTCCCAGGATGTTAAGTGAGCAATTCTTCAGCAAAAATGAGGTAGCAAGAAAAAATGGAATAACTGAATAATATAATATCACATTCCATTGGCACCCTTCCTATGGGAAGAATTTTGTTATCTACCTTCTGAGTGGAATGTTACAGAAGGTATTTTAAAATATTGTAAAATACTGAAATAAGCCTATGATTTTTATAATGTTGTTTAAAAACAATATTCCTTCAAATTAAAAAAAAATGATGTAACAGTAAAAAAAAAAACAAAAAAACTTTACAATCATCTTAGATCATAAGGGCCATGACTAGGAGACTAGACCCCTGACAATTTCATAGAACCAGCAGCCTTTTCCTTTATACAGCCTATTCCTGACTTCTTTTATATTAGGAAGAAATAAATTTCCATGTTGTTTAATCCATTGAAAGTCCAGAGTTTTCTTTTAATTAGTTGAGCCTAATCCTACTTGATTTAATCATGATTGAAATAGTTTTTGAAGATGTCTAATACTTTTTAATCTCTTTATAGTATTCAGATGAGGGTAAGACATATATTTTGCTCATCTTTTCACAGTAGACTGCTTTGCATCTAACAGACAATGTCCACTCAACATAATCTTGATAAATGTTCAGTAGGCCTTTGCTCATAGTTCAAAGCACCTAGTATTTCATTTATATTTTCACTTGCAAACAATCAAAAATCCAAAATATTTTCAATGCAATTTCTCCAAAACAGTTAGATTTATTAAGTAGACTCTCTTTTTTTTTTGGAGACGGAGTCCCGCTCTGTTGCCTAGGCTGGAGTGCAGTGGTGCCATCTCGTCTCACTGCAAACTTTGCTTCCCCAGTTCCAACGATTCTCCTGCTTCAGACTCCCGAGTAGCTGGGACTACAGGTGCTAACCACTATGCCCAGCTAATTTTTTTTGTATTTTTAGTAGAAATGAGGTTTTACCATGTTGGCCAGGCTGGTCTTGAACTCCTGACCTCATAATCTGCCCACCTCAGCCTCCCAAAGTGCTGGGATTACAGGCATGGTGAGCCACTGTGACCGGTCAAGTAGACCCTCTTATGACTCTTATCAAGTAAGTAAATTAAAAGAAAAAAATTCTTATGGGAAAACCATTCACAGATGGGACCTTACATAATCACAATATTTTGTAAAGACTGGTAAGTGGAAACTCCTCAAGAGCATTCTCTAGACATGCAAAGACAGGTTATTTCTATTCATCATCAAATTATTCAGATATTTACACAAATCATTCCTTCAAATACAGCAACTGCAGAATTTTAATAAATTCTGGGGCTAAAATTATATTTATCTTCTGTGAAGCGAGATGTTCTAGAAATGTTTGTAATATTTCTCACACTATCACTTAAATCCTACATCATTTTCAGAAGCTGATTTTCACCCTATACTATACCTTACATATTAAAAGAATAAGTTTAAAGGAAACTTTTGGAAAACAGTTTAATGTTAACCAGATATGTTAAAAGCTTATAATTTGGATTATTATCTTTCTTTGTCAAAAACAGCAGTATCAGCTGGGTGTGGTGGCTCACACCTGTAATCCCAGCACTTGGGAAGGCCGAGGCTAATGGATCGCCAGAGGTCAGGAGTTCGAGACCAACCTGACCAACATGGCAAAACCCCGAATCTTCTAAAAATACAAAAAAATTAGCCAGGTGTGGTGACGCATGCCTGTAATCTCAACTACTTGGGAGGCTGAGGCAGGAGAATCGCTTGAACCTGGGAGGTGGAGGATGCAGTGAGCTGAGATTGCACCACTGCATTCCAGCCTAGGTAACAAGAGTGAAACTGTCTCTCAAAAAAAGAAAACAAAAACAAAAACAAAAACCAAGCATTATCTTAAAAGTAATATCATATAAATTCCTTATCTAGGACTTGTCTATCCCTTAAAATGTTGATCACAGTTTCAAGCAACAGTCAACTATTTCAATTCTATAAAATGCTAGAATCCAAACACAGAGAACAGAGCACAACAAACCTTAACAATTCATTAGTTGTGTGATTTGAGGCAAGTTACTTAACCTCTTTGATTTCTTGATCTTCAAAATGGAGATAGAAGTACTATCTATTCCTATGGCTATTGTGAGGATTAAATGAATAAATTTATGTAAAGTACTCAGGAAAGTATACGACACATAGGGAGTATTATATGAGTGTTTGCTTATATCATTATAATCATTGCTATTATTAATTAAAGGCTCAATGTTCCAAAGGCAAAACAAGTAAAAAAAAAACCCTTCATTTTATAGATTAAAATAATTTATATAATATTATATTAAAAGTTGATTAAGAGCATTTGTTTTACTATCACTAAAGGTTACACAAGCTAAATGAAATACTTTTTTTTGGAGTCATCTAACAAAGACTGTGCTGAAAACTCTCTTGATCTCATAACCTAGTAGTTCTGTAATTTGACAAACACAGGACTTGGTGGCAGATATGAAATTTAAGCCCTGCTATATTCATTTTAAATTCCAATTTATTGCTCATGCTTCTGACTTCATCATGGGAAATGTCTATTTGTGGATTAGGTTCAAAATTCACCAAATACATATAAAAAATATCTACAGAATATACTTTATTAAATAAGCCATAAAACCAAATTTGAAACCTGTCATGAACTAAAAAATAAAAATAGAAAGTACCTGAGATTCATGTGGAATGAAGGAAATATTTATTTCTTTACATCTTCTTATTGACTTGGAGCAAGAAGCCTTAATTTTGTTAAAGAGATTATCAGGGCAAACTGAGGGGAAAAAAAACACCAAAGTATATAGTTACATCTAGATCTTTATTCCTTTTAAATAAACCATTCCAACGTCCAAGAATAGTTATAATTACTGGCTTTCAGAGAGTTATTTACTATGAGGACATAAATAATATATAAATATTGTTATTTGCTTTACAAAAGATATATTCTAGTCAAAAGGACTATAACAGAAATTCCATCTTTCCCATTTACATCCACCATAACATCAGATGTACTTCCTTAAAGATCTGCTAACAGAGCAAACTGAAATTGTTAGGAAGAAAAATCATGTCCAAACTTATGACTTAACAAACAGCAGCACTTTCAGGACATCTTAGAAATTTATACTACTTTTCCAAATTGCCACTAAGTGATCCATACTACAACCATACAACACAAATCATTAATTTTTCCTTCAATTAAAGGCAGCTTTCTAACATTAGAGAATTCTAAGACACTATAATACTAAGTTCTGGAACTCAGAGCCAGTGTTTTTCTCCTTTCATCAAAGAGTTTATCATTCCATTAGATCTAGGTTGGAATACCAACCATTGGCTCCTAGTATCTTTTAACATGATATTCTTTAGCCTTAAGATTCCTTAAGTTAAAAGAGGGTTCACATTCATTAAATTTCATCAATTCCTTAAACATGACGCTCTGTATAATAAGATTATATAACAAATACTTATGGTGTGACATTTTTAAAATCCAAACTATTAGGCATGAGATAAAAATTCATAGGAAAAATGATATACTACTTAAAGTGAAGACCTTTAATAGCAGAGACCAAGACTTAACTTAGATAAATGATATTTTTATTTTGAAGTATATTATATAACATATAACGTAAGACAGAATTGTATGTGTCTTTGGACTTCTCTGTGATTCTTTAGCTACCAGTTTTCTATGTGATCATACGGCAGAGTAAGATAAATGTCACAGATTTTCTCCCTTCATATTTGCCAAACAGATGTCTGTTTTCTTCAGTGCCCTCTCAAAAGGTTTTTGTTTTTTACAAGAGAATCAAATCCCTAACTGAAACGCTGATTAAAAATATTTCTTCCTGTCACCAGCACAGGATTTGAGGGCTAGCCCTCTCCACCCATCCCTTTCATCCCCAGCAAAATGATTGTCTTTTGAAAACAGTTGGGAATAGTTTCTTTTAATTTTCGATCACCTTAGTATGAATTAGGATAGATATAATCTCACATTTTTAGATTCTTTCTAGCCTAATTAGAATAAATGATAAATAGAAAATCACCAGGACTGAAATAATATTATAAAAAGTAGATACTTTAATCACATTTTGGGCTGGATGATTTTTAAAAAGTCGACAGTTTAAAACTAATGGGATTTTAAACAATGAAGCAATAACTTTTTAAAAGACTTACAGTCAGTGAAGTAAATATATGCTGCTTTATACTTGTTCTCCGATTTACTTGCAAAATCATGTAAGAAACAATCTACAGACTTAAAAAAGGTTAGATGTTAATACACATTTTATTAAATATTGATTTAAATATGTTACCTTTTGAAATGACTAAGATTATTTTATTTCAGTGATAAAATAAAACCTTACTGGCTAAAAGTTTAATTTATAAACTGATTTTTTAAGATGCTATATTCTCCAGCCAGTGATAGCTAATAAGGTAGTAAGGTAACAAGAGTAAGGTAATATTAACCAGTTTTGGTTTTGGAAAAAAAGAAAAAAAAAAAAAAGAGTAAGGTAATATGTATGAACAGGATGCTCTTATTGGCAATGAAGAGGTCTAGGAAAACTGAAACAACATATAAGACAAGACTATTGGAAGATAACAGATTAAAGAAATAGAAACCAACATACTGTAAGTATCATCTACATGGATAACAAAACCACCAAGACTTATGACTGGAGAAGTGCTGAAGTGAGAGACAGTGAGTGAGGAGCTTAAACTATCAAGTGATTAGAAAGACCCAAAGCTTGGTAGGCGACTGTAAGAATGAGGAATATACAATTTTGTATCTTGCTTTTGTCACTTAACATTCAAAATAAACATTTATCTAGGTCACTAACAACCCCTAGAAAAATTATTTTTAATGGCCACATGGGTTTTCATTTATTTATCATTTTATTCATGTATTTCATTCAGATATCATCATATGGCCTATTATTTATTAATGCTAAAATTTAATTAGATTTATTTACTGCTAGAAACTTAGCTAGACCATTTATTTATTTCCTAATAATAAACTCTAAAAAAAACATTTTTTAAGGTTCTTGATAAAAAATTACAAACTATTTTCCAAAAAGGCTGTATCAATCTATACTCCCACTAGCAGTATATGGTAGTTTCTGCTCCATTATCCACTGATAACCAGAATAGTCAGAAAGCACACACACATACACACCCATATATATATTTTAAATCCCTCTGTCAATTTGCTAGATGAAAAATGGTGCTTTTAAGTTGCATTTTTTTTTTCCAATCATGAATTTTTCTCTCACGGAATTATATTACAGATAAGATATAAAATGTCATTAAAACCCACCAGTAGCCAACATGTAGAGACTAAAAAGTGAGTATCAGGTTTTGTTTTTTTTACATGTCTGCTAGAGTTTTTTAGAAGTGAAATGAAACAGAGATTGCCAAATTAACATTCTACATGGGAATAAGTGAGAGATCAGGTTTTCAAAAATGCATTCTCAGATATTGTACAGAATAAAGAATCTGATAATTTGGTTCTAAAAGGCTGGCATCAAGTATGAGTTAGGTCATAGAGTCAGATTATAAACTAAAGACTTTCCTTTCACATAAAATATATACACACACACATATATATCCATCTTCATATATACATACAAATATGCTACGGGAAAGTCACTGAGATAAAGAAGTAATCCAAGACTATAGATTATTTCTTTCACCTACATTACCATCCCCCCAAAAGGTACAGTTCAATAGGAACTGCATGAAAAACAAAACATGCAAAGAAATGTTATTTTATACAATTTAATTCTGCTTTCACATATGGGGAAAAAAGGAATTATTTTACTTATACATTCTCATTGGGAAGAAAGCAAATAATCTTTTAACACAGAAAAAACTTTCCTAAGCAAACCAGTTTATGGCAATATTTTTCTACTAAAGCGTACTTCATCACTTTGAATTTTCTATTAGTAAACCATAACAATGGTGAAATATTGATGAACCTACTTTTTAAGGCCTCAAAATACTCACCTTTGATGTTGGAGTGATGAAATAAAGAGCTTTCATTTGTCTGACAGGTTCACGATTCTTATAAATATTCTCTACAACTAACAAGAAAAAAGGTCATTTTATATAACCAAATATTTATACACTTAAAATAATTTTTAAATAAACGTTACTGTATTTTTCATTTATAATAATATGAAAATACATTTACAAATAATATGAAAACAAAAACATTTACTGGGTTTAACATTTTCTTTGTCTTCATTGGATACATTTTAAAATCCTGAAAAATGAAAAATGAAAATTCTTCATTTTCTTACCTAAACAATGTAAGAAATTATTCATTTCTTAAATGAATAATTCATTTTCTTACATGAATTATTCATTAAAATTCATAATAACCTTGCAAGTATTTTACAAATGAGGAAACTGAGGCTTAAAGAAGTAACTTATCCAATCACACAGTTAGGAAGTGGAACAGGCAGGCTTCTAACCCAGATTTGACTCCAGAGCCCAAGTTTTCACCTGCCACAGTGCTGTTTAAATAAATTGCCAATTAACTCCTATTCTTTTAAAACCACATGTAAATATTCATAAAGTACTTTTTCAGCAACAGAACGTCACTAGAATTTAGTCAATTATATTTTTAATTATGGAAATTAAGCCATTTATAAGATTACATAAAGCAAAGTGAATATAAAGGTAATAAACTTTGTCAAATTAAAGCTACATATATATTTCTTAAAACTAATTTAAAGTATCCTTCAACAAATCCAGAGAACCATCTTTCAAGATTCATGTTGACAAATGGTCTAGAAAGAATTAACATTAATGTCACTGGCAAGAGAGGTTACTGCTGGACTTCTCTTTTAAATTTGATTTCCTTTTCTCATTCCTGAATGTATATTAGTAATGTATAAGTTTATCATAACTACTACTAGACAATCAAATAATATTTCCAAGGAAAAATTTAATCTTTTTCTCTTCATTCTCAACTATTATAATTTTACTTGAAAAAAATTAAGGTTTAATCTGTGCTCATTTATTTCAATTGTTTAATGCTCAGAATGGAGTGTCTTACAGTCATGCTATACATACTATTTTGTTTGGTGAATAATGTACATGTTAAAACACTGAAAATACTGTGATAGATATGATTTAGAACTCAGGCTCTGAGAATATTCTGAAATCTCTTTATTAATAACAGAAAGTACCACTTCTCCATTCACTGAAAAGTATACATCTATCAAAAAACCAAAAAAACAAAGAGAAAGGTCTTTAAAAGTGAAAAAGAATAATCTAACTCCCAATCTGTCTTTCACTTTTTATTTATTTTTTTGAAATAAGGTCCGTTTTGTCACCCAGGCTGGAGTGTAGTGGCACAATCAGGGCTTACTGCAGCCTTGACTTCGCTGAAGCAATCCTCTTGCCTCAGTTCTCCAAGTAGCTGGGACTACAGGTATGTGCCACCATGCTTGGTTAATTTTTTTGGATTTTAGTAGAGACAAAGTCTCACTATATTGCCCAGGCTGGTCTTGAACTCCTGAGCTCAAGTGATCTTCCTGCCTCAGCTTCCCAAAGCACTGGGATTACAGGCATGAGTCATTGTATCTAGCTTCAGTCTATTTTTTTTAAGGTTTTTACACTTGACTTTATTCTCCACTCAAGTAGCAAATCCTGACAGAGCATTTTTTCCCAATTTTTTTTTAATCCCAAGACACTACTAAATATTTTCATGAATGACCTAAATGACAACAGAAAGTCTGACTGCTGAACCTGCCAATGCCCAGTTTCATAGAGGGATTTTCAGGAGAGCTAATGTGGAACTCAAAAGGACTGTTTTGAGTTTAAGTTAGAAGATATGACTACAATTAAACCATAGCAAACTTAGGTGGGTCTGCAGGATATCAAAGGTATCCCACAGCAGCGAGCTCTATGATATACAGTCCTATGAAACACTTCTCAAAAATAGCTTTCTGTGGCCAAATAAGTTAAGAAAACTGAATACTATCATTTTACCCAGGGGATCTACTTATACCTTGGCATATAAAGACTCTGAAGTCCTAAAGAAAGGTGTTGAGCTCTGTTTAATACTGTTTCCTAAATGTACTGGCCACAGAATCCCTTCCTTGAAGAATATCTATTAATACTGAGCATACAGTAAGAAACGATGGTCTACAAAATGCAATAAAACCTCCCTTCAGTGCATAATGGCTCTGCAGTTCCACAGAGCTTTTATGTGTTATCAAATGGTTCTCACCCTAGTTTCACATCAGAATGACCTTTCGGAATTTAAAAAACTTAAGTGGCTTAATCAATATTTCACTTATTCAGTAGAAAAATCAAGGCTTCAATTTTCTAATTTCTAGTTTAGAGCTTTTTACACTGAGGGTCAGAAAGACCACAAATTGAATATGTAATCAACAATAAAGGTTATTTTATGGCTGGGCATGGTGGCTCACACCCGTAATCCCAGCACTTTGAGAGGCCAAGGCAAGTGGATTACTTGAACCCAGGAGTTCGAGACCATCCTGGGCAACATGGTGAAACCCTGTTTCTATCCAAGAAAATACACAGATTAGCTGGGTGTGGTGGTGTGTGCCTGTAGTCCCAGCTACTTGGGAGACTGAGATGGGAGGACTGTTTGAACCCAGGAGGAGGAGGCCGCAGTGAGCCAAAATCACACCACTGCACTTCAGCCTGGGTGACAGAGGGAGACCCTGTCTCAAAAAAAAGATTATTTTATGCATAAACATCAAAACATAAATATGATACAGTCAGACTTTCTTGAAAATACTGGGTATACTTTTGAACTTCATTAAGTTAGGAGTAACAGACAGTACATAAACTACATTAGGATTCAAAATATAAATGAATTATATTTCACTTGGAGCCTCAGATTCCTCATTAGAAATGAGAGTATTTGATATCTGTCTTCATAGGGTTATTATGATGATCAAATTTTAATAAGTGAGTTAAAGGATGAATTAAGGATAACACAATTATGAATGTTACAAGATATTAGTATTTTCCTCAATAGGTAATATAGATTAATATCTCAATAACATAATCCTGCCTAGAGGAAGACAACTTCTTGTGACATTATGATTTTTTTTCAGAATCTGTAAGTATTTCAAATTTTCATACTAAAACTGATTTAAACTTATAATTATTTGCCTCCTTTCTGGTAATAAAGATAAATTTACAAAGTCAGCATTATGCATTTGTAAATATGTACAAGTTATTTTTATGACATAAATCTTGATATTCACTTTAAAGTGATACATGAAACCATAAACTAAATCAAAATACTGAAGTAAAGCTTGTGTATCAATACACAAACTTGTTTTTTATATATATATACACATATGAGCAAAACATTTAAAGAACCTCAACAAGGCAACTGAGTTAGGCTTGGTTAGGGATCTTCATTATATGTCTCAGCTGAGGAAAAAAAAAAACTGACAGAAGATTCAGAGAAAAGAATGTTAAATCTAATTGTTATGGCTACAGTAATTTTAAAAAATAAGCTCCTTAGAAACACAATTACTAACTAAAATTTAATACTTCAGATCTCCCCCAATTACAATTAAAAAGTGTTCATGCCAAGAATAACACTTACCAGTAATACCTTCTTCTAGAAGATCTGTCATTTTGCAACATGATGCCAAAAGCTTAGTGGTAAATTCATCTAAAAGCATTATCTTAAAACAAACACAAATTAAAAAATACTGTAAGCATCCTATTACCAAGAATGAAAAACAGAATTTTATCCATTAACCTTTATAAAGCCTTTTATAACATAAAATATCAGGATAGTAGGCAAAATGATCTCATCTTTTATCTTGCACAATCTAGAGATTTTTCTCAATATATATGCATATAGTATTGTACATAAGTAAGCAAACAGAACTATTTCTAATTTGAAGCACAGAGCTTATTCATTTTAAATGACATGTTTAACATCAAATTTTCTTAAAATTACAATTGTCACTTGTAGAACAATTATTGCACAAAGCACTGTTTTAAGCAATTTCCATGGATTAATTCACCTCATATTTACAATTACCATATGAGGTATTACCATCACCATTTTTATAAACAAGGAAACGGGGGCAGAGAGAGTCAAGTAACTTGCGCAAGGAGCCAAGCTATTAAGTGGTGAAGATAGTATTCAGAGCCAAGCAGTGTGATTCCACACCCTATATCCCTATATCCCTCAGTATCCATGGGGGTTCGAGGACCCCTATGTATACCAAAACTCCATGGATACTCAGATCTCTTACATAAAATAGTGTAGTATTTGCATGTAACCTACACACATCCTTCTACATACGTCAAATCACCTTTAGATTACTTATACTAGAATACCTAACACCATGTAAATACTATGTAGTTTTTATATTGTATTGTTTTTAAAGTTTGTATTATTTTTTATAAGAGCAAGGTATGCAAATTCTACCTTCCATTCACCTTCTTTCTTGCAGTCATCAAACACTGTTGCTTTTATCTCTGTTTAAAAAAGAAAGGAATTACTTAGGAATTAAATCAACAGAAACATAGTAATTCAAACAGTCCAAAATGGCTAAGGAAAAATCCAATTTGAAATTTGTTAAACTACATAAAAAGCATACATATTTGTTAAACCTTATGGAAAAATCCAATTCTAACACCTAGCCTATACAGTACATTTCAACTGTAATCAATTTTTTAACTTTAAAAGGTATTATAAAGGGGTTAATATATTTAAGTACATGAACATACCGAGAAAATATTTCTAAAAGTATTACCTGATTTGGTTTTTCCTATTCTACTTAAATCCCAAGTAAAACAAGATGAAAACAAAAAACTCATGGGAACATCCTTAAGTTGCCCATTGCTAAATTATATCTGGCAATAAAATCTGCATAAACATTTTTCATACTGATTTACTACATTACACTTTTCAACAATACATATCACAGCATTTGGACACCAATATTCAATCTTGATTTATAATCAATAAATATTATGTTCCTTACAATGATTTTCAAAATTATCTAAATATGTTTTAAAAATTAGTTCACTGATTTAAAAACATTTTCCATTATGTATTAAATAACACATGTAGACAATTTACACAAATATCTGTTCTACTTAATAAAACAATTTCCCACACTTACTATGTTTTATTAATGTTCAATTGATTTTAAAATCAGTAGTAATACATAAAATATAATTAAAATATAAATTATAGTAACCTGTTTTTCATTAATTCTTGTTAATGAGATGGTTATTTCATTAACTTAAGCTTTTCCATTTCCTAATTTATATTTAATGCTTTTGGGAAATTTATCAACAAGTTTTTGATAACAAGTGATGTTAAAAAATGACGGCTCTTCTATCAGAAGGTATAAATAATAATAGTTACTGCGGTACAATAAAAAATTTTGGTTTTTACCCCCAGTTCCTGGCACAGAGCCCCTAAAGACCTTGGAATCTCCTGAGTGGTAAGTGTCTCTTCCATCTGCAAATGAAATGCCTCTTGGGTGAGGCGCCCCTATATAGCTTTAGATTGAGGGCTGGTCACCAGACCAAGCCATTAGGGTTGAAACCTTCAGCCCTACCCCAGGACCTCTGGGAAAGGAAGAGGGACTCGAGATTGAGTTCAATCACCAGTGATTCAATCAGTCATGCTTATATAATGAAGCCTCCATAAAAACCCCTTAAGAGAGTTTGGAGAGCTTCCAAGGTGGTGAACAAACCATGTGCCAGGAGGGTGAGACACCCAACTCCATGTGGATAGAAGCACCTATGCTTAGGACCTTTTTGGACCTTACCCTATGTACCTCTCCACCTGGCTGTTCATTTATATCTTTTGTAATAAACTGGTAGTAAGTAAAGTGTTTTCTGAAGTTCTGTGAGCCATTCTAGCAAATTAATGAACCTGAAAGGGAAGGGGGATTGTGGGAATTCCTGACTTTGTAGCCAAGCCACACGGAAGTGTGGGTCTAGGGACTTGGTACTGGCATTTGAAGTGAAGGCAGTATTGTGAGACTGAGCCCTCAAACCTGTGGAGTCTGACACTAACTAGTGTTCCTAGCTAACTAGTTCCTAACTAACTGGATATCCTACAATTCATTTCAATTGTGACACTAATACAGTTGGGGTCCATAGTTGGAGAATTGGTTGGTGTGAGGGGGGAATAAAACACATATTTGGTTTCAGAAATGTTAGTAAAAGCAATTCAGTTATTTATAGTCATTTTCAGAATTGTGATCTGGAAGGTTTTATTGTGACTGGGAAGATTTGAAAGTGTTAAGAAATATCAACTGAGATAATTATATATTGTTTGCTAGGAGGATTATAGTGTTATATGAGAATTATGGTGAAAGTCTGAAATATTTAACCATAATTTAAGCCAAAAGCACTGGCTTCTAGAACCCTACAGGCAAAAATAAAGGATTTTCTCAGGTAGAGCTCAGATACAGAAATATTATGCTGCTTTTCCTTTCAAAGCTAGCTTCGTTCTTTACACCTCAAACAAGCTGAAAATTGAAGACATTTGCTTGTTTTTATCAGATTTATTTGTGTCTTTCTCTTAAGAAATGAATGCTCATGGAATGTATGATGGAGTAGATTGGAGAAAAGCTCCCTAAGCAGAAGTCATCTCATTATAGTCTTTGAAACCTTAGAACTGCATTGTCCTAGATGGTGGAAACCAGACACATCCGGCTACTGAGCACCTGAAATGCAGCTAGTCTGAACTGAGATATCCTGTAAGTACAGAATACACAAGACTTCAAAAACCTTAGTACAAAAAAAGGAATGTAAAAAACTTACTGGGTCAAATATAATATATTAATTTGATTTTTTTTCTTTTTACCTTTTTATGTGACTACTAGAACATTTAAAATTACATATGTAGCTTGCTTTAAATTTCTAGTGATAGAACTGTCTTGGAATCTGAAGATACTTAGATCTATCTGTGTCTGCCAGAGGGGAAAAAAAAATAAAGAATCTGAAGATACCTAAAGAGTCAGTGTTATTGCCTTAAAGAAATAACTAGTTTTATGGAGATAGTAAGGGCATCCATGAAAAGTGACACAGTCACAGGCAGATATGTTTAGAGAGGAGTCAAAGGAAATCATATCAACAAATACTATAGAATTATGAAGGCATTTCCTCTAAATACTAATGAAAATCATTTGACCTTATATCCCTTTCTCTAGCATCCTAAATATGGATATACCTCAAGACTCAATTCTCTTACCTTTGCTCTGCTTGCTCTCAGAGCAAAGGTAAGAGAATTTGCTCCTGTGGCTGGTCTCCTCAGACCATATTCATCACCAAAGTTTCATCTATCATATTAGTCTTTCAATTTTTGACAATCTTACAGCCCTTCTCTCTTTGAACATCATTCGATTATACAATACAGATACAAGCAGCTACACGTCTCAAGGTGAGATTACAGCACCCTGAAAACTACTTTAGACTTATAAAGTATTCTCTAAGTATTATTGTCATTTTCTTAGTCATTGTCTTTGTCTATTTCCTCCTTTCCCCACACCCACCTATTAGGCATATTGATTGTTCTCTCTGGTAGCTATTATTTTTCATTGCCACTGTCACCCAGCATCAACTTGATTCTTCATTCTCACTGAAGTATTGCAATAGAATCCTATCTGGATTTCCTGCTTTCCACCTCCAACACCTTTGCTATTTCAATACATTCTTCACTCTGCTGTCAGAGTCACCTTCCTGAAATACAACTGTTTGATTATATTAATACACACCTCGAAATTCCCTCAAATGCTCACTCTTGCTTATAGAATAAAATCTAAACTATACTATTTAGCATACTCCACTGACTGGCTTCTACCTAATCTCTAAATTAATCTTCCACTAGTCCAAATGCTACCCAGATAGTAACTTTAGTTTGTTTTTGTTTTCTGAGACTGAGTCATGCTCTGTCACCCAGGCTGAAGTGAGTGGCATGATCACTGCTCACTGCAGCCTCAACTTCCCAGGCTCCAGCGATCCTCCCACCTCAACCTCCTGAGTAGCTGGGACCACAGGCGTGCGTTACCACACCTGGCTAATTTTTGTATTTTTGATAGAGATGGAGTTTCACCATGTTGCTCAGGCTGGTCTTGAACTCCTGAGCTCAAGTGATCCACCTGCTTTGGCCTCCCGAAGTGCTGCAATTACAGGCATGAGCCACTGTGCCCGGGATTATGCTCGCTATTTCTTTATTCAGAGTCAGGGTCTTGCTCTGTCACCCAGGCTGGAGTGCAGTGACACAATCAATGTCCACTGCAGCCTCAGCCTCCTGGGCTGAAGGGATCCTCCTGCCTCAGCCTCCCATGTACCTGGAACACAGGTGAAAGTCACCAAACATGATTAATTAAAAAATTTTTTGTATAGATGGGGTCTCACTTTGTTGCCCAGGTTGGTCTCGAACTCCAGGGCTCAAGGGATCATCCCACCTTGGACTCTCAAAGTGCTAGGATTACAGGCATGAGCCACGGTACCTGGCTTACAATTTTTATATAATCTTTTCTATGGCATCTGAGTTACCAGTTACTTTTTTAAAGTCTAACCCATACTATCCTATATTTGCTCCACATTTTATTGCCTTATTTTTTATATTTTTAGATCTTTAATATATATGATTTTTAAAATTTGCTGGAGATGGACTAAGATCATGCCTAAGTATATAAAAGAGGAGCAAGAAAGCACAATTAAAAAAAAAAGATGTCAGCCAAAAAGCCTTAAATGAAAATCTAATAGTAAATATTTATGTCCCAAACAAAACAACATAAAAGAAAACTATGGCATCAGAGAAAACTATCAGGAATGCAAGCAGAAATAAAGAAAATATAACAAAGTGAAGATCTAAAAAATGGAATCACGGAGAATTCAAGCTGAAAAAAATATGTTGAAGAAAATGTAGTCCAAACCCCTCATGGTTTAAGTTAGGAAACAGAAGTATAACCTGGACTAGAAACCAAGTCTTACAATGATTATTTCAGTATGGAGAAATAATAAACCAAGCTTCTATAAATAGTGTATCATAACAATGTTTTTGAAAATCAAATAGCAAAAGTAAAAAAATCAGACTTGTAGGTCATAAGGGAAATTATATTCTCAGAAAACTAAAACATGGCTGGGCGCGGTGGCTCACGCCTGTAATCCCAGCATTTTGGGAGGCCGAAGCGGGCAGATCATGAGGTCAGGAGTTCGAGACCAGCCTGACCAACATGGTGAAACCCCGTCTCTACTAATAATACAAAAATTAGCCAAGTGTGGTGGTGCTCACCTGTAGTCCCAGCTACTTGGGAAGCTGAGGCAGGAGAATCACTTGAACCCAAGAGGCAGCGGTTGCAGTGAGCAGAGATCAAGCCATTGCACTCCAGCCTGGGCAACAGAGCAAGACTCCACCTCAAAAAAAGAGAAAAAAAAAGGCCACATGCAGTGGCTCATGCCTGTAACGCCCGCATTTTGGGAGGCCAAGGTGGGCAGATCATGAAGTCAGGAGATCAAGGCCATCCTGGCCAACACGGTGAAACCCCATCTCTACTAAAAATACAAAACTTAGCTGGGCGTGGTAGCACGTGCCTGTAATCCCAGCTACTGGGGAGGCTGAGGCAGGAGAATTGCTTGAACCAGGGAAGAAGTAGTTGCAGTGAGCCTACACCATGCCACTGCACTCCAGCCTGGCGACAGAGAGAGACTCTGTCTCAAAAAAAAAAAAAAAAAGAAAACTAAAACACGTTATTAAATTCCTAATTATGATTCCAACAGATTCTGCCTCTGGCCCAGATTATTCAGTGAACAGGTAAGAATCTTTATAAAAGCAAACCCAGGGGCCTGGGGCAGGAAACCAAAGCAATCATCATCACAAGTTAATCATCACAAGTCAGCTGAACAAAAACAGACTGAACTGTGAATGGGAAAGACCACCCAGGGGCTTTCAAGATACAATGATCAAAAATTGCATGAAAGCAGAATAAATAAAAACTAAGGACTGGCCAGGCGCGGTGGCTCACGCCTGTAATCCCAGCACTTTGGGAGGCTGAGGCTGGTGGATCACGAGGTCAAGAGATCGAGATCACCGTGGCCAACATGGTGAAACCTCATCTCTACTAAAAATACAAAAATTTGCTGGGCATGGTGGCACATGCCTGTAATCTCAGCTACTCGGGAGGCTGAGGGAGGAGAATCACTTGATCCTGGGAGGCGGAGGTTGCAGTGAGCAGAGATCGCGCCATTGCACTCCAGCTTGGCAACAGAGCGAGACTCCGTCTCAAAAACAAAACAAAACAAAAAACACATACACAAAAAACTAAGGACTACTGTATAATCAACTAAATATATACAAAAGTAAATACTAAAGCAATTATTTCTAGGTAGTAATGTAGTAAATTGAAGATTTATTCTTATTTTGTTTTTTGAGACAGGGTCTCTGTGGCCCAGGCTGGAGCGCAGTGGTGCAATCTCGGCTCACTGCAACCTCCACCTCCCGGGTTCAAGCGATCCTCCTATCTCAGTCTCCCAAGGAGTTGGGACTACAGGTGCACACAATTCAATATTTATTACTGAAGAAAACACTACAACAAAGGGCATGGAGGATTTCTCGTAAACATAATAGTGTAAGGGTAAAAAGGCACCATTATAAAATTATTCAGTGGTGATATAAGTCAGAATACTGGTTACTCTAGGGGAGAGGGTAGAGCTTGAACTGGGAAAGGCCATAGGGTGCTTGGAAACATTCTTTTATCGTGATCTGGATGGTAGTTTCATGGGTAAAAAACTCATCCAGCTGTGCACTTATCATTAGTGCACTTCACACTAACATTACACTTAATTAAATTTAGAATAATTTATCTTCAAAATAGGAACAAGAAAATCACTTCCTCTCAGCACTGTTTAATAGAATGCCAAAAATGCTAGTGACTGCTCTTTGAAAAAGGAGGAGAAAATATCATTTTTAATGGTTTCCCACTGCCTACAGAATGTTTAAATAATACAGCAACCAGGCCCTTCATAATCTGGCTCCAAACTACTTTTTGGTCTATGTCCCCCTATCCCTTGCAATGAATACCCTGTACTCGATCAAAAGGAATTGTTCCCTCTTCCATAATCAACCACTTACTTTGTCACCTTTGGGGTTTGACATAGATTTCCCTCTGCCTGTCAAAATCCTACTACCTTTCAAGAAACATCTTATGTGTCACTTCCTCTTGAGCCTTCCCTGACCTCCTCCCATAGAGGAAATAATTCCTTCTTCCAAAATTTCATACTGCTAATACAGCAGTCCTTAAGTACTTGTGCACCTGTCTTCTCCCACTCAATTGTCAATTCTAGGAAATCAAAGAACAGAGTACATACTCAATATATCAACACTGATTTAAATAAATGACTGTGTAAATATCCAAAAATTTAAAAAAGGAAATTTTGCCCAACAAAATACAAGAGAAAGCAACCAGAATGAAAAAAGACATAAAACAAAGATAATTGAGTAAAACAAAAACATATGATTCTATGCATGCCTGTAATTGCATTAAAAAACTTGTGGAAGGATTTATAAGAAACCTGAGTGTCTCTGGAGAGGAAGGCTATGGGTCTGGTTGGGAGGAAGATTAATTTTTTTATGTAACATTTTTAAAATCTAATTTTATTATTATTTTTTAAGACAGGGTCTCAGTATGTTGCCCACGCTGGTCTTGAACTCCTAAGCTCAGGCGATCTTCTTGCCCTGGCCTCCCAAAGTGCCGGGATTACAGGCATGAGCCACTGCACCTGGCCATAATTTTTTCTTTGCTTTTCTGCTATCAAAATTTTTTGCCACCTCAAGGTATTTAAAAAGCAATTTTAAAATGTTAATTACGAAGATTGTGAAGCAGCACAAAAAATGTTGAGTCAATGTCAGTTGATTTAAAAAAGGAAGTCACAGAATGACAGATAATAAAAGCAATGTCTTTATATGAGGATCAGAAGGAAAACGTGAAAAAGGGAAAAAGCTTATGATTCAATATGTAAAGAACTGGCTTAAATACATACATGCTGATGTTAATAACATATATATCTGGAAATTATTTATACAACACAATTTGTTGCCCATTTTCACATAAATGTATTTAAATACCACTGTTTTAAAACATTCTCAAATCTTAAAAAGTCAGCCATGTAAATCTTGAAAAAGCAAACGCCAACCTTAAAATTAATCTTTTAAAAGATAATTTCATATTTTTCACCTATTTATACATTTGCTTAGTGCCTGCTATATGTTAAACACTATCCCAGTTACTGATTTGGATTTTTAATTTTAGACAAGGAACTCCCAGAATTCTGCTGACTAAATCATTTCTGTTTTTTGTTCAACAAGTTGGACTAAGAAATACTTAGATGCTACTCCCTTTCCACTACTAGGCCATAATTATTTTGAACTCAGAAATGCCAGACAATGATGGTTATTCCTGTTAGGTGGTTTCATTCTTTCTCTAACCTGCCAGACCTAGGTTTGGAGCGATGTTTATGAAAGTTGTGGATGACACCGCAGAACATCAGTAACCAATAAGAAGTCCGGTCCTAACAGCAGGGAGGGGGCCCCGAGAGTGTAGGGAAAACGGAAGGAGCGGCGGCTCCAGCCCGGTCTATGCAGGAAGATGTCACGGCTGGACACCCGGTCATTCCAATGGTCCCTTCTCAAGAACTTTTCAGAAAGTAGGTTCCTCTCGGAATAGGGGAAGAGGAGTCTGTTAAACAGTGAGCGTTTTTTTTGAAAAGCACGGGTTGATACTAATACGAATAAGCAGAATAAACAGTCCTTGCAAACTCCAGTGTGGGGTGGAGATGGGGGCGGAATAAACAGCGCCCGAATTGTCTCGGATGGAGAGACATCCCCAACTGGTGGAGAGCGGACAAGAGCGAAGATGAGTAGAGAGTGCGGCCGAGGACAGGCGCGGGCCCCGCGGGAGGGAAAGCCGGACCAGGGCAGCTCACCCCGGGCGGAGCTTCGCGGCCAGGAGCGCGGCCGAAGCGAGTGGGTGCCCGACGCCAACTAGAAGGCCGCGTCCCGTCGCACCCCGCCCATCCCTGGTGCTGGCAAGGAACAGCGCAGGGCAGGAAAGCAGGAAGAAGTCCTCACACAGATCCCAAAGCAACAAGTGCTCGCGACGGCGGCGACTCAACAGACCGCTGGGTTGGGGCTGCAAGATGAGACCCGGCACGGCAGCCTCCCGGCCTTCCCTCTCTCAACCCCTGCCCCACCGCACTCACTCTGCCATACGACGCTCTTTAGCCCCCTCTCTGCCACTGACGGCGCCATCTTCCCGACACTGCGGAACAGCAGCCACCACCTTCCACTCCCAACCTACTTTGGCCGCAAAAGCGGCGTTGGGAGGGCCCCGCCCCTCGCTGCAGGGGAAGGCCCCACCCCCTCTTGCAGACCTCGCCCTCCGGTGACGTCACGCGCGACAGCAAGGAAATTTCCGCCCACTGCCGGACGGAGGCTGCGTAGTATGGGTGGAAGCGCCCAGGGAAGTCGGGCGCCCCCTCGCGGGAGGCGGCTGTCGCCTGCGGTTCGACGTCCTGTGGAAGTGCCAAACCGATAGTGAGCCAGGGCTGTCTATGAAATTCCAAGTTCACACATACACGAAGACTGGAGGATCCTCCCCTTTACAGAAGAACCCTTCACTTCGCGAGGCGATTCATAATAGATTTTACTCAGTAGCCAGCCCAACTACCTAATAGAAAATGTACTGTCCCCAAAAGTTTCATTCATTCATTTTTCAAGGACACAGTAATTGTGTAGAACTGAACTGTGCTGGACTTTTGGAAGAGTCAAAGAAATGAGAGACCGACTCTTCCCCCTGAAGAATTTATAATCTAATTAAAGAGCGCGATTCCTGGAATGCTGCAGATAGTTAAAACTGGGTTTAAGGCCGGGCGCGGTGGCTCAAGCCTGTAATCCCAGCACTTTGGGAGGCCGAGACGGGCGGATCACGAGGTCAGGAGATCGAGACCATCCTGGCTAACACGGTGAAACCCCGTCTCTACTAAAAATACAAAAAAAAAAGCTAGCCGGGCGAGGTGGCGGGCGCCTGTAGTCCCAGCTACTTGGGAGGCTGAGGCAGGAGAATGGCGTAACCCGGGGAGGGGGGCTTGGAGGTGGCTGAGATCCGGCCACGGCAGTCCAGCCCGGGCCAAAGAGAAAGACCCTGTCCCCAAAAAAAAAAAAAAAAAAAAACTGGGTTTAAAAATGGAATGCCTTAATGATAAGCTATACATAAATGAACCAACAAAACAATAATCATTTATTAACAAATTTGTGCAACAAATGTAGGGAGGGTCTGTTAATGCTTCAGAATCAAAAATTATCGTTGAAGGTTGATTCACAGAGGAGGAGATCTGAGCTCAAAGTTTAGGCAGAAATCTGTTTACTGACATGGTTCTTTTGGGACTTTAAATCAAACGTAAATTAGATCAGTTTAGTTGCTAAGAGCCCTAACTGTGAGATAACCATCATGACACTGGCAGAAAGTACGCTTTCCGAAAAGGATTTGCAAAGAACTAGTGGCTGTAAAGATTCAAACTGGTCACACAGAAGTAGAAGTGGTTAAATACTACTACTACTACTAATGTCTAATATTTACTGAGTGCTTACTTACCATATGCCAGGCACCATGCTAAGCAGATTACTTCACTGATCCTCAAAGCAACCCTAACAACAAGGAAACTGAGGCTTAGTGAAGTTAAGTAACTTGCCACGGATGCCCTTGGTGGTGGAGTGGGAACAAAGATCAGGCTTGGGCCACATGGAAAGCAATAGAGTAGTCTGTGGGATAACCCGCGATTTTTAGGAGAGAAAAGGAGAATGAAGAATTAACAGGTTGGGCATGGTGGCTCACACCTGTAATCCCAGCACTTTTGGGAGGCCTAGGCAGGATGACTTATAGAGGCCAGGAGTTTAAGACCAGCCTGGGCAACATAGCAAGACTGCTGTCTCCACACACACACACAAAATTAATAAAAAAGTTTGGGCCGGGCGCGGTGGCTCAAGCCTGTAATCCCAGCACTTTGGGAGGCCGAGACGGGCGGATCACGAGGTCAGGAGATCGAGACCATCCTGGCTAACACGGTGAAACCCCGTCTCCACTAAAAAATACAAAAAACTAGCCGGGCGAGGTGGCGGGCGCCTGTAGTCCCAGCTACTCGGGAGGCTGAGGCAGGAGAATGGCGGGAACCAGGGAGGCGGAGCTTGCAGTGAGCTGAGATCCGGCCACAGCACTCCAGCCTGGGCGACAGAGCGAGACTCCGTCTCAAAAAAAAAAAAGAAAAAAAAAGTTTGCTGGGCATGATGGCACATAATACCTGCAAGCTGAGGAGTCATAGCTACTTGCGAGGCTGAGGTAGGATGACTGCTTGAGCCCAGGAGTTCCAGGCTGCAGTGAGCTATGATCATGCAGCTGTACTCCAGCCTGGGCAACAGAGTGAGACCCTGTCTCTAAAATTAAAAATGGCCATAAAATGGGTTCTGGCACAACCTATGGCATAAGTGGTTTTTCTGTTCAGGGCTTATATGAGAATGGAAGCTGGAGCCCTGACCTCCTTTAAACCTACTCTAAATTGATCCAGTTGCTCAATTTTTTAAACAAATGCACATGATTTCCCTCTCCCTTTTCATTTTAAGTTAGGTTCTGCTTAGTTTAGCAGGGTGAAGCCCCAGTCCATAAGAAAAATATGTGCCAGGGAAGATTCATCCTTCTGAGGTGAAGCCCTTCACTCTGAAGAGCCAAACCAAGAGAGAAGAGTGAGATGGGTGAGGTGCCTCCATCTCTTACCCTTCAGGAGAATGACCAGGTGCCAAGGAATAACACAAGGTCCCTCTGGGTTGGAAGTTTGACTCTGGTCACATGTGGTGCCGTTGTGGCTCATGCTCCTGAAGGCCAGAGTCCTTGTTGGCACTGCGGAATAGTGGAGCAAGCATGGGCCTTAATTGCATGTAGGCATAGGTTTACATCCTACCAATTCTGGCTCTGCCTCTTACTAGCAGTGTGACCTCAAACACCTCAGTTTCATTGCACCTGTGTGCTGAATATTAATATATTATCTCAAACCTCGCAACAGCCCAACAAGATGACGATTGCCATTTTACAGATGAGAAAACTGAGTTTCAGGGAGGTTAAATAAATCATGAAAAATCTCAAAATGAGCTAGGATCTGGATCCATTTGGCTCCAAGGTCATTGCTCTTTCTAGTGTACCAAATTGCCTGTCCTCCCATGCTCCCCTAGTTTTGCATAAGCTCGCTAAGCTGTTTCTCTACGTCTCCTCTAGTCTGCTTGCCTAAACAAATTGAAAAATGAATTTGGATTCCCTAAACGTGACACATCAGAATGGAAGGTAAAATCTGCTAACACTGGCCAGGGATGAAAAGCTGCTTTGTATAATTCAGAGCAGGCAAATGGCCAAAATAACCGAGGGTTGAATGTACAAGCACTTGAGTTAGGGCAGATCACTCACTATCCTATTCCCAGATCTCCTCTAATAATCAATCACTAATTCATAATAATCTAGAGAAATATTTTCCATAAAGATATCATGGGTACCTAACATAAAGATACGTTAAATGCTTGAGGTAATTGAGGATACTCCAATTACCCTGATTTGATCATTACACATTGTATACCTGTATCAAAATGTCACATGTACCCCCATAAATATATACAACTATTATGTACCCATAATAATTAGAATTAAAATTTTAACTAAAAGATAGCATGAATTAGCAGGTCTAATCAATGCTACTATGTCTCTCCCTGAAACTTTGTGTTTGAATTGATTAGCCGTGTGAACATGGGTGGGCTACTTGACCTTTCTGGGCCTCTTTCTTTTTCCCTACCTGTGTAAAGGAGATAATGTTATTACTTAGCTTGTAGGGTTGTTATGAGAATAAAGTGAGTATATGGAGAGCACTTACAAGCCGGTAGTTTGTGCTATATACACGTTAAATAAACTGCTTTTTATCTTTACCCACTGCGGATCACATTTTCTTCTATGGCATTCTGACCAAAACTGTTCAACCTTAGGTGCCTAGCTAGGCAGATGGCTATTTCACTTTCTGTGCCTTGGTATTTGTACGGTATTAGGTGTGCTCTCTGATGCTTCCAACTCCATTTTTAGAGATCTATGCCTTTGGCTTGTCTCCATTCATGTACAGATGTTCTGGGGAAGATCTCTTATTAGTGACACATTACATATTTCTGATCAGTCTCATAGAGAAAGCATATCACTTCTCTCTTGCAGCGCACATTGATAGGAAGTTGAGAGAACAGAAAGGGAAGTTTGTTCTTTCTTCCATGCTTAATTCAAGCCTAATTCCATGGTCCAATTCCCCCTGGGTGGAGTTTTATGGTTGTTCCTAACTACAGACATTCTTGGCTCCATAGCCATGTGTTTGGGGAGCAAACACTGTAACTGTGTGTGTGCATGTGCGTGTGTGTGTTATACAAGTCTATTCACACTTTTTAAATTAGGTTACTGATATTTGAAGGACAAACTTTTTTTTAGGTATGAGAGATTTATGTTATATTTCATAGCCTTCCCCCTCCAAAGATGAAAAAAGTAATTACAGTATGAGTGGGAGATACGGCCAATAAGATTGATGGTCCTCCCCCCAAAAAGGTGCCTGTGTGTCAGTCGGTCACAGTTTGAGGCTCTCCATTTGACATCTTCTGTCATGCAGAAAGCATAACTGCAATCCTTCTAGCAACAGGCTGGCAGCTCTGCTTTCCCAGATGCTCCCATGGATGTCACATCACCTGATGCTTTGGCTCAGCAAACCCTGCAAGCAGCTCAGCTTTGCTCCTAACTTGTGATGAGGGCGGTTGTTATCTCAGGTTGCCCTGGCAGCTACTGCTTTCCAACCTATACTGAAGTCCTGCTGGAGGTTTGTCTCGGGATAAGTGCTGTCTGCATGTGGGTGGCTTGACTTTCTGGGAGTGAACATTTCCAGTCCCTGAGGGGGCTGCAGGCAAGTGCTGTTGTCAATAAAACACTCATGAAGTGGATGTGTTGAAGTCTGTGGTGTGTCTGGATGTGAAATCGCAGAAAGAATTTCTGCTAAGCAGACCTTTCGTGTTTGCAGGGTTCTCACAGCTTGCTGACTCACACTGGCAGCTGTCCAGGGGATTTTCTGGATCCATTTCTCTCCAGAGTCTTCACACAGCAGATCTCCAACTGCTGTGCAGGTGAGGACACACCTGACCTTGCCCTCAGGAAGCAGAGTCAGAGTTGTTCTTCTAAAGGCCAAAGGAGCTTTTCCTATCCTAGAGGCATTATTTTATTCTACATTCTAGTAGATCTTTTCCATCTCTAATCACTAACAAATGAGACAACTCTGCAAGACAAATGGGAAAACATTTTAAAC